AAACATGTAGTCTGGGTAGATCAAATTAGGTGGGGGGGGGGGAAGTTAGAGACAAGTAACAACCAAAGTCAAAGTCAAAGTCAAAGTTTTATTATGGGAATAGCTTACAAGCTGGTGCTTCTCTTGTCCCATAGGATGTTTACATAGATGAATCGTTACACATCAAAAAAAGGAGTCACATAGAGATCCGGGTAGGAGATAGAGAATGTAGGCTACAGTGAATCCCGTTTGCCTTTAGTGTACGAATGTGAGGTGTGCCAAGATTTTGTCGAGTCTCTGCTTGAAAGATTCAATAGTGGGTGCACAAACGACATGAGATGGAAGGGCATTCCAAGATTTGCATACTCTGACAGCAAAAGACTGGCGCCGGCAATCCAGTCGAGACTTTGGAATCAGTAGTTTGAAACGGTGTCCCCTTAGGTGTACATTGTTCGATAACATGAGAAGCGATCGACACGGATGGTTTGGGTTCTTCAGTATTTGATACGTCAAAATCAAGTCTCCTCGAGTTCGGCGATACTGAGCGGAATATAGTCCCAATGATCGCAATCTGTCCTCGTATGACAGGTATTGGAATCCTTTGACCATCTTGGTGGCCATCCTTTGTGGACACTCAAGCATCTTGCGATCACGCTGAAGCCATGGACTCCAAGCTTGGATGGCGTACTCTGTATAGGGTCGAATGTACGCTGATAGCAAACGTGGGAATAGTGATGATTCAAACCGGCCAAAGACTCGCCGAAGTAAGCCGACATTCTTCATAGCAGCAGACGAAGCCTTAGCACAGTTGTTGGAGCAGCTTAAATCCTCCTGAACAACAATACCTAAGTCCTTTTCGCTAGAAGTATGTGGTAGCTGCTGGTCCCCGAGGAAATAAGAGAATTTCCGCTTGTGGCGTAGGGATAGGACTTTGCATTTAGAAACATTAAATTCAATGTCGTTCTCCTTAGACCATTGATAAGCTGCGTTGAGTGATTCCTGAAGTGTTTGAGAGCCCTCTGGTTCTGTTACCGTGTTCCAGATCTTGGCGTCATCTGCAAACAGTAATGTCTTTGAGCCCAACACTTTCGGTAGATCATTTACGAAGGCGAGGAACAGACGGGGACCGAGTACGGACCCTTGTGGAACACCGCGAGTGGCTTTGGTGGGTCCGGATACAGAATCAGAAACACGAACTGATATGATTCGTTGATCGAGGAATGCTTTGATCCACTGAAATGCGAAATCTCGAACGCCGTAATTATAGAGCTTCTGCAGTAAAATTTTGTGATTCACTCGATCAAATGCTTTCGCGAAGTCGAGATAAATCACATCCACCGCATCCCCTTCGTCAACTGTACTGGTCCATTCATCTCGAACAGTATTATTCACAGAAAGGAAACCAAAATAGAATACGGTTTAAGAGAATACCATTTACCAAATTTCCCTAAAGAGTATTTAGTAATTATTCACACAAGGAACCGACGTCTTTTTCACAATACGAGGAAAGACCGATTACAATGCAAATCACTACTTCTTTGGTGCGTGCCATAAATGTTTGGCCACAAAAAGTCTGTCCTCGAGAAAGATGACCCGAATTCAGTTCTTTGCTCAAGCGCTGTATCGTGTGCAAGAGGGCGATCATTATCTCAAGGAATGTTGTACAGGTGAATGGAGAGGGATCAACTAACGGTTTGTCTATCTGATAGAACCGAGTGAAAACCTGACCCGATCTTCTGATGACAACGAATGTTAATTAGCTTCTGTGCAAAGTAAACCGTATGAAACCAAACGTTCATTTTAGTTCAGCATCCCCATGGCGTCTGCCTACATCGAACTGAAAGTTATAGGAATCAAATGTGCATTCTGGTCACCAGTCAAGTAACGAGTGAAACGAGATTGCAACTCAAATCATACTGACCTTACGGGCCGGTTCAAGTCGAATTCCGTTGGAGGCTTAGCACCAAACTTGTACCACCAATGTTAAGTAGGACTTATCCTAATGAACCACACGAGGACAAAAGTATTCCGATGAGAGGTACTTTGATCAAATCCTCCGCCATCTGCATTATAAAAATCTGCATAATATGAGTACGTGAACTCTCTTTGATATTGTGGAACGGTTTGTATTTGAGTCAATTTATGAAGACAATCGGTGCCCTCACTCACACACTCCTTTCACCCTCTACACCTATAGTTTGACGGAATTATTTCGCATTCCCCTTTGATTCGTTGCACTTCGTCAATTCAATCGCTTATTAAACGCTGCACATTCACGGCCTGTTTCATTCAACGGTGTGACCCTGTAATCGTTATACATGTGTTTCAAGTGATCTTACCGACCACTTTAGTCACGCACTACTTCTCCTTGCTGTTTTTAACTGACTTTTTAAACAATCGGCCGCTCAGAGCCCACCACAAGTGAACCTATAATCAAACGTGTTTAGGAAGAAGAGACATTTGATTCATACGCATTTAAGACGCTGCACCTGGGATTCTCCCGAGTATAAGTATCAATCACAAAGCTTCACTAAACAATGTTTCTCGGTGCTTACCTCTTTTTCTTTCTCCAAAAAGATATTTACAGACATTCAACAAGCTCTCCAGATTTGAGGTATATGCTATTAACCAGAACAGTTAGGGAACCAAAGGTCAAACACTTGGGATATAGCATACTGAATGTTGCGATCATTGTGCAGAGGCCAATGTTGAATTGTGTTAGCGCGTTTCGTTTACTCAGCACGGGTAAACTGCAGAGTGGAAGTACGAAACAGACAGAACATATCACGAAACATCTATTAAGAACACATAGTGTAGGTGAACATCTGTTTTCGGTAAACTTCGTTTCAAGTCTTTACAATCACGTTTATATGAGACACTGTCAATGGAGTTCAAACAGAACGAAGTATCAGTCATGTGTTTGGCAACGAACCCGAGATAAGTCCAAATTTGTGCACTGTTTGGGTCACGTAACTAAAGTCGCTATGTTACGTCATGATAGTCTGGGCAAATGATTTTCTCTTCCCTTGGTCGGGGGAGTTTGAGAGCTTGAATCAATTTCCAAAACATAGGAGGGAGTACCCAGTTATTTCGAGCCGCAGGAGATGAATTCCGAATATAATCATATAGAAAAGTACTTGACTATCAAATGCTCATCGGATATTTCACGGTAACTATAGAAATACTGATGAGATTCTTTATTCTTCCAAGCCTATTCCGTGAAGCACACATCTGATGCCGCTGAGCTCATGAATGTTAGACAGATACAATTTAACCTTCTAACCCCTATCGAGTTTTGTGTATAGACCACAGTAGTCAAAGTCAAAGTCAAAGTTTTATTATGGGAATAGTATACAAGCTGGTGCTTCTCTTGTCCCATAGGATGTTTACATAGATGAATCGTTACACATCAAAAAAGGAGTCACTTAGGGAT